TTTAACTCAACTCTCCAATAGATATATATCTGTCTATATCTCTGAGATGAGGTATTATGATTACTTGCGTTATTTACATTACTCGGACTGTTATCCTCATCTTCATTGCCATATTGACAACGTTCTCAAGGACATATGGACCAGTGGATAAAGGCGTTGGTTAGATCCAGTGACTAGAGTTCAATACCAGGTCACAGTAGTGGTGAACCAAAAACCTCGAGCTACAAGGGACGGGAAGGTATGGAGTGCCATGATCGCCTACGTCCTGAAGTGACACGGCACATAAAAGATGAAGATATGATACCTTAAGTCAGATCTCTATTAGGTTTCCACCAAAGTGCTTCATCAAAAACAACTTCTTGGGGTACTGTCGCAGCATGAGTACCATAGGGTTTTCAAACACCCCATTTAAAATATTATAGCGCAGTAGTATTTTCTACATTTTCTTGAGCGGTCTATTTGGGGTTTAAAATAAATAAAAATGAAAAAAAATTGTTTCATTATGAAGGATCAAATTAAAAGCCGAATATTAAAAAATTAATATTCAAGTTTCTAAAATTCAAATATGCAAGAATAGATTTCATTTTCATTTTGATCTTTTAAAATCATTTCTTATTAATCTGACTCTTTTCTTCAAATGTCTATTCACGATCCAAACAATGAGCAAGAAGATTTCTACGATCATAGGTTTTTACTACAATTATAACAGAAAACTTTTACTTTAAATCACCACCCACAAGCAAAGCAATAAAGCCACTAAGACGCAGGATGGAGGTGTTACTGAATGTGAACGAATATAAGGAAAAGGAAAACATTATTAAAGAGCGAGAACAATAGAAGTGGTAGCTGTCATTCATATATGGAATGTATTAGGAATTTCAGTTGGTATTTTTCACATTTTGTAATCTAACCTTGCTCTTTCCCGGTGCACCTAATTTTCATTTCAGGGCAGACCCCACTGCGACATAACTTACAGTCTGGGAAACACCGCTATAATAATGTGTTGTTTAAAGAAATAAAATAAAGGGAGACTATTCTTAATACAATCAATAAGGACAATTATTAGAGATAAAATTAAAATATTTTATTCCTTTATTCTTAACTTAAAGTTATATGCTTAATTCAATAGTTTTTGTTTGTTTGTTTGTTTTTTTTTTTTTGGGGGGGGGTTGTTTTTAATCATATTACCCCAGGCAAGGCAATAAAGCCACTAAGACGCAAGAGGCGCTACTGAATGTGAACGAAAAAAGGAAAACATTATTAAGGAGCGAAAACAATAAAAGAACAGCCATTAAGAAGACAGAAATTAAGAATTTACATTACATTTAAGTTTTTGAGATCAAACATGGCTGAAAAACAAGAAATCAAGCGTTCCACAAACGAAAAGTGCGAAAGAAGAAACTGTTAGCATAGAACTTACGGTTACATCAAATCGTTTCAACTGTAAAATGATACCTTTTAAGATTTCCCTAACATCATTGCAGAAGAATGGACTGGGAGCTTTTGCATCAAACTATTATTTACAACTAAGTAGAAAGGTAAATAACACTCAGCCAGTCTGGGTTTTTTTTTAATCATTTCATTCCAAGCAAGGCAATAAAGCCACTAAGATGCCAGGGAGTTACTGAGGGTGAGAGTATACGAGAAAAAGAAAACATTATTAAGGAGAGAGTACAATAAAGGAAGAGGAATTTACAAGACATTATAGATGACTATTAACATTGCATTTAAATATTTGATAGTGTTGCTAAAAGCTAGAAAAATGTTCTCAAAGCAAGAAGTGCAATAGAAGAGACTCTTAGCATAGAACCTACGGTTACATCTAGCCATTTCAACTGTAAAATGATGAGACCTTGCCGCCAATCTAGTACTGCGCTTAAATTCATGAAGTCTACGTACCATGGAGGAAACTACATCAGAACGATTACCATGAAAGTATTTTAGTAAAGGCAGAGGGAGGCCACATTACAGCGGTGGGAAAGTGGTTGAAGCCGAGATACTAGATCAGGACCAGTAACATTGCAGATTTTTCTTTGGATTTTATCAAGAATCTCAAAATAGATAAAAGGATCACCAGACGATATATGGCAGCAATATCCATAGTATGGGGGAATGGTATGAATTGGGACAATTCTATTTAATCAACTGCTAGGCCTCACCTAGAAAAGTTGGTCCACTGTTTTCACACCCGAGTCTATCTTACATATTTACAAGTCTACCATTGGTCCATACATTGAATACTGTTGCCACATATGGCCCGGTGCCCCCTGCTATATATGTAGATGACCTTGACAAAATCCAAAGAATAATCTGCAATGTTATTGGTCTTGACCTGGCATCTCCACGTCATTCGCAATGTAGCTTCCCACTGTCTTTTCTAGAAATACTTTGATGTTAATTGTTCTGATGAACTTTCCTCTTTGGTACCGAGACTTTGTGAATTTAAGCGCAGTACTAGATTGGCTGTAAGGTCTCATGATTTTTCACAGTTGAAACGGCTAGATATAACCGTAACTCTTATACTAAAACTAAGAGTTTCTCTTCTTTCACACTTCTCACTTGTGGAAATTTCTTCTCGCTTCTTGCTTCCCTGTCAAGTATGATCTTGAAAAATACAATCAATATATAAAATTACCAAAAAAGAAAATAAAAAAAAACATGTACAAAATTATGTATCAACTGAAAGTGGAAATAAAAAAAGTTAAAATAAAAAGTGAAAAATAACAAAAAAAATGAAAACAAAAACTAAAATAAATAAAAACAAAGTGTAAATTTTTAAGATATCTTAAAGAAATCTAACATATTTTAGTATCGACACGTTTACCGTAAAGGTATATATATATCCCGGCTTGTAGCAATCGGACGTCAAGCCACACTGAGATGTGATGTGATACAACGAAACAGTGTCTGTCAATGACATACATATACTGTACAAGTATAACTTTTAAGATTACTTTTTTTAAATTTTAAATAAAACTTGTCGATATCTGGTCCCCCAAAACGTCAGGTCTGTTCGGTGATTAAACAGATTCCTTGATCAATTTAAATAAAAAAAAAAACTTTCAAGTTTTTTTTTTTTTAATTTTTTGAAACATCCCGCACTTAACTACACTCCACTTTAGCGATTTTATAAACTAAAAGTTAAATAAAAAAAGTAAAAAAAAAAAACAAAACAAAAAAAAAAACAACGTTTCTGGCACATAATGATGTTTCTTAAAACAATTGACGAGAAAAAATAAAATGCGGGCGTATTGTTGTCACATGGCATCCAACGACTACCAACTCCTGACTCCGGAAAAAAAAATACAGAAAAGAAGTAAAAAGATTTCATAAAAAAAAAAAAAAAAAAATTTAAAGGGAGAAAGAAAGGAAAAAGAAAAATAAACTATAAGAAAATCTATAATATAATATATATATTTTGAACAATAAGAAAAATAAAAAAAATTAAAATCTTTAGACACACTGGGTTGTAGATTATTCTTTCTTTTTTTTTATTATTATTCCATTTTTTTTATTATTATTCCATATATATATATATATATATATATATATATATATATATATATATATATATATATATTGGGAGATTTGATGTCACTTATCCTTTGCCGAGTCATCCCATAGTCAACATTCATGATTTCTGTTAAAAGACGAATCAGTAGTCGCAAATGTGATGAGTATGAAAGATGACAATAGAATATATAAACACAGACGAGTCATTTCAAATTTTTAGCGGAATTAATTAGTTTTACTTTTAAATACAGAGAAAGTCGAGCAGAATAATCTTGATGAAATCAGATTACGAATATATATTTTTTTTTTTTTTGCTTTTAATCGCTTTTTTAAAGATTGCCAGTTTTTTTTTTGTGGGGGTGCTTTTTTTTTTAAATAATCCTCTTGTTTTTGTTATTAGCAATATGAGATCTGGCAAAAAAAATTTAAAGGATTTAAGCATCAGGAGAGGCAAGAGAGATCTGCAGATACAGGAAAGGGTGGAATTTAGCGTTTACAATCCTTTCCAGTTGATCGGATTTTTAAGTGGAATTTGTTTATTTTGTAGCCGACAAGAAACAACAATTTCTGACTAAGCGTGAAGAAAGAAAACCAAAGAAATATAAAATCATATTCGGAACGTTAGACATACACGCACGAAAAATACAGTCGATGCTGGGCTATGCTGCCGACTATTTATTTGGACCAATTCTTCAGAAATACCCAGAATGCTATTCAAAGAATAGCCTGAAAAATGTTTTTCGTTTCTTGATATTTTTTTTTTAAATATTTTAAACCTTCCTTACAACTACATAAAATATCATTTTTCTTCTAATTTTTTAAAAAAATGTTGAAAATAATGAAATACTGCCCAGAGTATTAAATTTGGAATATAAAAATATAGTTTTTTTTTTTATTCTTGTTTATCAAAGAAATATTTTTATTATTTTTTTTTAATAATTCTAAATTAAAATAAAGAATCATTTTTATGTGCATGATTTATGTAGCCTAGATTTTATTGCCAGAATTTTAAAAAAATGGTAGTTTAAGTTTCCATAAACAGAATATACGAAATATTATCGGTTGCAAATCTAAGTTAATAATTGAAAAGGGAAATGGAAGAATTTTAAAATGCTACAACATTAATTTAAAAAAAAACAAAAAAGAACAAAAAAACAACACGTATATAAAATAAAAAAAATTGCTCTCATTCGGTTGGGTTCACTTAATTCCGAATTCCCTAACCTGAAAATTAAAGAAACATGTAGAAAGATAAAACGAGGAGAATTTCTACACCAGGAAAAAAAAAAACCGTGTGTAATGGAAGTTAAGAGAAGCAAAATATTTAGAAACGAATGAAAATAAATAAATAAGCAAGATACGGAGCCAAAAAAATGACAGCTGCAAACTAAACAAAACAAATGTAGGGTTAAAAAAAAAAAACACATAAAAAAAAACAAAATTAACAACATTGTTATATTCTAACATACATAACAAATGAAACTGAC